TGTGACTAAGACTTGTAAATTATGATTTTCCCAAAATTGACGACATTTTTCCTAAAGTTGGGAGTTTAAATATGATTATGGTGAACAGAAATCCGAAAAAAAGAGTTACCAGTAACTTCGTGGTTTATTAAGAAAAATGATTAAGAAGTAAAAAGATCCCATTATAAACGAGATGAAAAATTACACCTTTACCATGTAGGTCAAGCTTGTCTCCTTGGAAGCACACTGCCTTGGAAAAGTTGATGTATGTATAATAATCAGTTTATTAGATTCTTAATACAGCATGAGCAATTACACAAACTCGGAGTTACTTTTTTGCGTCGTCATTGCGGGCCTTCAAGGTTGCTAAGTAGATTCTAAAATTGAATAAAAGCTCTTGTAGTGACGTATTTCAATATGTTTATATTTAATGCATGACAATATAAAGTGAAACCTACAGCAATGTTTGCTGAAATAGTTCCGTGTATCTATAGAATGGAAATGGAAATTTATTTCCGAAAGATGTTACGTACATGGTCCTCCCATCTATGATAACGCTTATTTAGCTTATCTCAAATGTCATGGAAAATACTTAGTGTTATGATGTCAAACTTTTTCAGAATCTTTTTTATAACACTGGGTGATAAAAATGCTAAAGAATTACGAAACAAATAAACGTACCTACAAATTTATCCCTCAAATCTTGTTAAAGACGTTTCAAATGCCCCTAATTACTCTTCAGTTGACAGAAGGAACTGTAAACTCGATAATCCGAGGATGAACTTTTGGGAACAAACATCACGTCCGTCCGATTTTCAGCTTGAAATAATTTGCAGGACATTAAGGGTTGAATCGGACACGGCGAAAATTAGTTTTCGTAAAACTGCATGTCCTTTTGCAAATGTATGACACCGACGTAAATTCCAAGTATAACTTACTCGTCCTCTTTGTCACTACTGACAGGCACTGAGACAGAAGATGAAGGTAACAATCCAACTTTTGTTGATTTTACTTATATACGTTCATAGGTATGATAAGCTTGCTTTGTGATAAGGCAAATCAATTGATGAAGTAGTGAAACTTCATCAGTTGAGATGGCTGGGACACGTGTTACGTATGCCCAACGACCGACTGCCTCGACGTGCTATGTTCAGTGGTATAGGAGTAGGTTGGAAGAAAGCTAGGGGTGGCCAGACCAAAACATGGCACAAGTCCATGAAGTCACTGACAAGTGAACTGAGTCATGTTGGTAGGTGTAGAGTACCTGGTTGGGGACCACGAGATGATAGCAACCGATGGTTAGAGATCTTAAATGACATGGCTCAAAATCGTTTGCAATGGCGCAGGTGCATCCACTCTGTGTTCTCCCAAATTCTAATCTTCTGAATTCTTCATGTCCCTTTTTTCCTCTTTCCAAATTTATTTCACTGGATTATACTCCTTGAATAACATCTCCAAACCCTAATCTTCCCGATTACTGCTTATACTCTTACCGCCTCTATCACTACGGGATTTGAATCGACAAGTGCATCTCTGTGCTAATGTGGTGTGGCAACTCGAACTGATGTACGTACGTACGAAGTTCTACGTTGTTACTGACTTGTGATAAGGGAGTCAAACTCATTGACTAGGAAGCCAAAAGTAGATTCCAGAAACAGCTATGGTCACTCTTTGGTAGTTCTGAGAACTAGGCTGACTCAGATATTGCTTGTTAAGATATACAAACATCTGTGGAAACAGCAGTGACATCTATTACTGATTTGAACCAAAGGGTCACAAAAAACCAGCGGATTTTCGCTAAGTCTATTGCACTGATAAATTCTCGTAAACTCATCCCATCAGGCTCGATGATAGCGAAAACAAGTCAGATATGAGTTAAACAAAAATCTAAAGAACGATTGTGAGCAGTGATCAGTAACGAAGCAAAATAGATGGAAAAGGCAGCAGCTGTAGGTAATACAAGGCAGATCTTCAGACTAATAAAAGAAACTGGAATTAAGAAGTCACGTGTGAGGCGATCTCGAAAATACGACACTTATCTGTTTTCAGTCCAGACGTTTAGAACGATGGGCGAAACACTTTGGAGAACAGTTTAGCTGGCCTTCAGCTACTCTATAAATACCCACAATTATCAGACAGCCCGAATGGAACATTGAAGTAGGTCCCCCAACTCTAGCTGAAATCCAAATGGCTATAGCTAATCTGAAACAAGGAAGAGCAGCTGGCCCAGATGGATTGGCTCCAGAGGTCTTTAAGTATAGTGGTCCAAATTTAGCGATTAGGTTGACTAATATTTTAGCTAAAATCTAGGAACTGAATGTAATCCCATCTGACTGGTCACAATCATTGATTGTCCCAGTATATAAGAAATGGTTAAAATCATCCTATGATAACCATAGACGGATTAGTTTGACTAAAATAGCATCTAAAATACTAGCCTTAATAATTATCGGGCTCCTAACAGAGTCGTGAAGTGCAAACAGAAAAAAATCGGTTTGGCTTCAGATCTAGTCGTGGCTGCATCGACCACATATTTACCATTCGTCAGGTTCTAAAACACAGGCATGCTTATCGGCGTCCGACTTTACTTGAAATCAGCATTTGACTCTAGACCAACAAAAAAAGAGGCACCAAATAGATGGGCGCCACACAAATCTCATTCGATATGTGTGAGGGCTGTGATACTGCCCGGGTACCCAGACCGAAGCAGGTGGTTATCTTAGGGGGCCACTCCCCAAGCCTTTGACCTAAAGGTCTAACCCACAAGGCAGTGGAGCATCGTAAGGAGATGCAATCCCATTGTGGCCGGTGACCAACGATCGGTTCATACGCCATTTGTTCCCTCAGGATACTGGAGCCCATGTGCACCATTGGTTTGTGATCCGGTTAAAGCGCCGGACATTCGCTTTTCGTCCTCATTTTCGTAAACAACACCCCCGCCACGAGAAGGCGATGAGTAGGACTTCCCTGGCAGAGGCTGTATACGCGTGGCCGTGTGAGAGTATTTCGAGAGGGAGAGCGGACTCTCCCCACTCTCGGCCGTACCAGGGAATTTTGGGGGCAGTGTCTGTCATCGAAAGGTGTACCTCAGAAGTACATAAACCTTGTAAAGGCTCTTTACTCGAACACTACCAGTAGATTCAGAGCTTATGGCGAACTGTCATCTAATTTTGAAACCTCAAGTGGTGTCCGTCAAGGCTGTTCACTTTCTCCATTTTTGTTCAGCTTCATCATAAACCTACTGATGGAAATAACGTTCTCGTCGACTGAATTATTGGGCATTGATATCTTTCCAGCAGGTCCACTGATCAACTTAGAGTACGCAGATGACATAGTCCTGTTTGGTGGAGACGTTGATAAAATGCAGTCTTTTGATAGCACTGAGCAAGAATGCTAGGATGTTTGGGATGCGTTTCTCCCCCCTTCCCTCTTAATGCAAGTTGTTGCTCCAGGACTGACCTGTGTCAACACCTGAACTAAGGATAGGGAGTGAAGTAGTCGAACACATCGACAAATTCACTTATAATGAAAGGCTGATCAGTGCTAATGGGTTGGTGTCTGACGAAATCTCCGCATGGATTCATTAAGGTCGTTTAGCTTTTACCAACTTACGTCAACTAAAGTGAAGGAAAGATATCTATCCATCGATAAAAGGGCGAGTATGCTACTCAGCAGTTTGTTCTATTCTACTTTACGGCTGCGAATCGTAGCCATCAAGAATAAGAGATACTCGTAAGTTACTAGTGTTTGATCACGGATGTCATAGAAATATTGCTCGCATTTGCTGGGATCGCCGGGTAAGTAATATTAAGGTTAAACACAGGGTATTAGGGAACGATGGAAAATTAGTTGATGAGGTTGTAAATCTTCACCGACTGAGATGGTTGGGCCACGTATTACGTATGCCTGAACACCGATTACCACGACACGCAATGCTGACTAGTTCTGGAGACGGTTGGAAGAAAGTTAGGGTTGGCCAAACCAAAACGTAGCATCAGTCCTTGAAGTCACTGACTTCTGGTCTGAGCCATGTTGGTAGACGCAGACTACTGGTTTGGGGTACGCATGACTGTCGTAACCAATGGTTGGAGACTCTGTGTGACATGGTTCAGAATCGATCACAATGGCGTCGGTGTATACACTCTTTGTCCTCCCTTAAACCGTAAGATTAAAATCGCTCTATATCTTTTATTGCATCAACTAGTTCTTTCTTCCTATACTATATCCTTATACACAATCTTTCTTTTATACATTACTGCCACTGAAGTGACTATTTCTATGAATTTGCTGTTCATCTTGTGCTAATGAGGTATGGTAACTTAGACCGATGCATATATGTACCTGGTCCTACGTTGTAGTTGACTGACGGACTAATAAGAGAGATTAGAATGTCCAGAAGCATGTACAAGGGTAGAGTGCCAGGGCTACCTGAATTTGAAATACCTAACACCAGTATACATTGAACTCACAGAGATAGACTGTAAGCGTTGATAATTTAATATGCATGCCCCACTTGATTTGCTATTGAATTAGTGATAACATAGTTGTAGGACCAGTTAAATAGTGACACGTTAGATTTTACTAGCTAGTAACAACCTTGTGACATTTGATATGACTTGTTGGAGTTCAATCGAAAAAAAAAACTATGAACGTGGGTATGTAAGTTGAGAAACCAGTCAGAGCAGATAGCAGTCTAAAGCTGTTTGAAATCCTCGTAATACATGTTGTAGTCTTTAGTTGATGACCATTTGTTTTAATTTCATTGTGTGCAAATCTGTTTTTTCGCTGCCGAACTTATTTTCTGCATCATTTCCCTTAATTTATTTGTAAGACTGAGTAGTAATGTTTTATTGCCGATAAATGCTTCTAAACGGAAGACTAGTAGCTTCTTCGTAGTGAACTGGGTGGTGCAGTCTTTTTCATTCTGTTTAGTGATCGATATAAATTTTTATCCATCAGCTTTCTGGTTATTTTTGAGCGTATATATATAATTTCTATTTAGGCATAATTAATTTACTTAAATGAATCCGGCGGAGCTTGAATTTCTTTCAGAAGAGGAAGGATTGACCATAGTACCTAAGTTTAAACTTGATGCTATTAAGCTGCTCAATACTACTGTAAGTTTTAAAGTTTATGTAAACTTCAAATATTAGATTTTCAAGACATTTTCTTGTTAATCATTGACTTCACCGTTGAGAACTTATGGTTTGTCGTTTTGCTAGGTGTGTCTTATAAAATATAAATAAAAACTTTATTAATTATCGTATGTGATGTTATTTTTAAAAAAATTAATGGTTAACAATCAGCTTATATTCCGATGATCCATTTTAGTGTTTTACTTAAAGTTCATATCTTACTCTAAATATTAAGTTCTAATATTATCCCATACTTTCCATTCTCTGATTTTCCATATTTCTGAACCTGTTTTTAAAGTACCTCCAGAAGAACCCTTCCACGGTGTGGGCAACCGGGAAGTGATAATGTTATAATCCTCTCTTTTTTCTTACGGTTAATGACCCAGCTATTCCTATTGCTTAGTATTCTTGGACACCGATTCACTCGACAAGTCCCCAAATCAGAACGCGGTTGAACAGGAAGGAGATTATATTCCAAATAACAAGGTTAGATGGAAGCAAGAAGCAAGTCAGAAACCAGTAGGAAGCACAATAGGGGAAAACGTTGGTATATTTATAGTTTTTACATAAGAAGATCCCAGAGTATTCTCCGACTATTGACTAGTGCTGATTGGATAAGAATCAGCCAATCAGCGTGCACCAAAACAATCATGCATTGAGCATGCTTTAATCTAGTCTATGTCCCGCTAACAGATAACCGCCCTCATACCTCTAACAGCACTCAAGACCACTGTATTCATAATCAACCTCCCTCTTCAATTCCTATTATTTCTCCTACATCGACTTTCAACTCTAAATTTCCTCTTTCGGCTTCCTCCTCAAATGTCACCATAGCCAACGATTCTAGTGCTCAAAACACTGTCCCAGGTCTACTGAAACCTCGCTCCAAAATACACATTGTAGCCTTCAATTTACGCACTCTATGTCAAATCGGTCAACAGGCTTCCCTGGCTAGGACCCTAGAATCTTGTACCATTGATGCATGGTGTGTCTCAGAAACACATACAGGATCCCAGTGTGGTCATTCACTTGACCTCACCTCGTCAAAACGGAGAGCCAACGAGATACACCCTCCGTGTATCTGGTGACCCGATGACCAGTTCTCGTGGACTGGCAGGTGTAGGCATAGCACTAAGCATGAGGGCTGAACAAGCACTGCTAGAGTGGATCCCCGTCAACAGTCGTTTATGTGCTGTTCAGCTAAACGGCTACGTAAGAACTCGGAAGGATAGGAACACACGTCGTTGCCTTTTTGTCGTTTCTGCCTACGCTCCCACTGACTGCAGGTCAAATGAAGTGAAAGATGAATTTTACAGAAAGCTGTCCGAACTTCTGCAGAAAGCTAAACGCTCAGACATAGTACTCGTAGCAGGTGACTTTAATGCTCAGATAGGTAGTTTAAACCAAACAGAAAGGCATTTAGGTGGATATTTTAGTATTCCGACACAGCGAACAGATAATGGTGATCGTCTGCTGCAACTATGCTCAGACAATCGTTTATTTTTAGCAAACACAAATTTTAAGCATAAGGAGAGACATCATCTAACATGGCGACCCCCTACACCAAACCAACGATGGACTCAAATAGACCATATTGCCATCAGTCATCGTTGGAGAGGGTCGATAGAAGATTGTCGCTCGTTTTGGATTACCTGCTTGGACTCCGACCATACCCTAATACGGGCACGCATCTGCTTGCGCCTCACTGGACGCAAAAAAGCCACATTAAAAAGACCCATTAGAACTGAGTTGAGTAACGAGAAAACCAAAAGTAGGTTCCAGGAACAACTGAGGTCACACTTAGGTAGATGTGAAGACGAGGCTGACCCAGATGTTGCTTGGAAGGGCATACAATCAGCTGTGGAAACAGCAGTGACATCTATTAGCGACTTAAACCACAGAGTTACAAAGAATCAGTGGATTTCTTCAAGGTCTATCACACTGATGGATTCTCGCAAACTCGTCCCATCAGGCTCTGAACATGACGAAGAGCGTAAACAAATCAGATCTAGGTTAAGAAAAAGTCTAAGGAATGACCGTGAGCAGTGGTGGGTAACGAAAGCAAAAGAGATGGAAAAGGCGGCGACGATAGGGAACACAAGACAGCTTTACAGACTAATAAAAGAAACTGGAACTAATAAGTCAAGTGTAAGTGAGATTATTTCGGAAAAAGACGATACTCTCATCTACTCCCAGTCCAGACGTTTAGAACGATAGGCGGAACATTTCAGAGAACAGTTCAACTGGCCTTCAGCTACTCTACAACTACCCTCGATTCCCAGACAATGTGAATGGAACATTGAAGTAGGTCCCCCAACTCTTGCTGAAGTTGAGAAGGCTATAGCTAATCTGAAACGAGGAAAGGCAGCTGGTCCAGATGGATTGGCTCCAGAAGTCTTTAAGAATGGTGGTCCAATTTTAGCGATTAGGTTGACTAATATTTTATCTAAGATCTGGGAGTCAGACGTTATCCCATCTGACTGGTCACAACCACTTATCGTCCCAATATATAAGAAAGGGTTAAAATCATCCTGTGACAACCACAGAGGGATTAGTTTAACAAATATAGTATCTAAAATATTAGCCTCGATAATTATCAGACGCCTAACTAAGACCCGTGAACTGCAAACACGAGAGAACCAAGCTGGCTTCAGACCTGGTCGTGGCTGCATCGACCACATATTCACCATTCGTCAGGTTCTAGAGCATAGGCATATTATCGACGTCCGACAATGGTGGTCTTTCTTGACTTAAAAGCAGCATTTGACTCGGTAGACCGCGTGATTCTATGTCAGTGTCTGTCATTGAAAGGCGTACCTCAGAAGTACATAAACCTTGTAAAGGCCCTTTACTCGAACACTACTAGTCGAGTCAGAGCTTATGGCGAACTGTCATCTACTTTTGCAACCTCAAGTGGTGTCCGTCAAGGCTGTCCACTCTCTCTATTTTTGTTTAACTTCATCATAGACCCATTGATGGAAATAAAATTCTCGTCGACTGAATTCTCGGGTATTGATCTCCTATTAGGAGGTCCACTTAGTGACTTAGAATACGCAGATGACATAGTCCTGTTTGGTGAAGACGCTGATAGAATGCAGAGTCTTCTGGTAGCACTAAGCAACAATGCCAGAATGTTTGGAATGCGCTCCTCTCCCTCTAAATGCAAGTTGTTGCTTCAGGACTGGGCTGCGTCATCAGCTGAACTAAGAATAGGGAGTGAAGTGGTCGAACGCGTTGACAACTTCACTTATCTTGTAAGTCTGATCAGCCCTGATGGGTTGGTGTCTGACGAAATCTCAGCACGGATTCGAAAAGCTCGTTTGGCTTTTGCCAACTTACGTCACCTTTGGCGAAGGCGAGATATCCGTCTATCAATTACGAGACGAGTGTACTGTGTGGCAGTTCCTTCTGTTTTAATTTACGGCAGCGAAACATGGCCTTTAAGAGTAGAAGGCACTCGTAAGCTACTAGTATTTGACCACAGATGCCTTAGAAATATTGCTGGGATCGGGTAAGTAAAAGTGAGGTTCGACGCAGAGTATTAGGGAATGGTGGTAAGTCAGTTGATTAGGTTGGGAATCTTCATCGACTGAGATGGTTGGGCCACGTATTGCGTATGCCCGAACACCGTTTATCACGACGTGCAGTGCTAACCGGTGTTCGGGACGGTTGGAAGAAAGTTAGGGTTGGCCAAACCAAAACGTGGCATCAGTGCTTGAAGTCACTAACTTCTAGTCTGAGCCATGTTGGTAGATGCAGACTACTTAGTTGGGGTCCGCGTGACTATCGTAACCAATGGTTGGAGACTCTTGATGACATGGCTCAGAATCGGTCACAATGGCGTCGGTGTATACACTCTCTGTCTTCTCTTAAACTAAGAGATTAAAATCGCTTCATATCTTTCTTTCTACGAGCTAATTCTTTCTTCCTGTACTATATCCTTATTGCAATATTTCTTTTATATATTACCACCTCTGAATTAACTACTTATATGAATCCGGTGTCTATCTTGTTGTGTTAATGAGGTATGGCAACTTGGACCGATGCATATATGTGCCTGGTCCTACGTTGTAGCTGACTGAACTATTTATTCCCAGTGTTTAGCCTTCCACTACCACTGATATTAATTCGAATCTTTTAATTTCCATTTTGTTAATTCGCTATCATTGTGCTGATATAATGTATAGAAAATTGGGTTAATGCACTTATGTGCCAGATTCTTTTTATAGATGACTTTTATTATTGCTTTTGCCTTTTTCGACTTCATTGAAGTTAGCTCCTCACATTTCACATGTATATATGAATTAGCGAGCTTACTGTGACCCATATTTTGTGAATATTCTTAAAATCATGGGAAAACAGTAAGAACTGTAAAGTGCAATGTTGTAATTTGTCCGTTGCTTGTTCTTAATACGCTTCGAAAGTCTGTGCTATGTATTCATTAAGTATGACTTCTAATCAAGTTACAACCATTTACAGTAAATCGAGAATCATTAAAGAAAAAAAGATATCTATATGAGTGGTGTATTTTTATTAAATATATTCTTTACAGTCAGAGGCCAGGGTTTGTTGTTCGACATTGCGTGATTTATTGAGACATAATGCTCTCAGGGTGTTAATCATACTTTCTATCGGTTCGTGTATTGGCAGTATTAATCTCGTTCTGATAACCATGTAGTGAACAAGAGCATAGAGCAGGGACAACCAAACGTATTTGAATACGAACTTACCTAATCTCTTAGTAAAGTCTGAGAACCATGCTGTAAATAATTATTTTCAGTATGTCCATCAATTTTCTTAAACTTTATTGCTCCTTCATTTCCATACCAATCACTCTCCGTCCTCGTTTTCTTCTCTTCGATTTCCTCAACCTTCTGCTGCCAGGCATTCCACTTTCGATTGATGATACATACTACTTATATCTGTCGGCATCGGTAGCACATACCACAACCGTACGGAATCTGCTCGATCATATAGTTAGTGGTGTACTCTTAACTTTATTTCTGACCTAACTTACAGTTAACATATTAAGTAGTATCAACTATTATAAAACAATTTAATTTTTAAATCAACAGATTGGTCCTTTTTTCCCAAATGTGCCAACTGTTGTCCCTCTTTGGGTTGCTCTTTTTCTGAGAGGGCAGCAAAAGTGTCGTATTATGCCACCAGCGTGGTTAACGTTAGAGAAGTTAAATGAGTGTAAAGAAGCTGAAGAGAACGACTCTGGTTGTACTTCTCCTCCTCATTCTCAATATATTGAAATTAGTACACTTCTTCTTCAACACGCGGCTGAAGATATACCGAAGTTAGTGAAAAAACTTTGTTTTACTAATATATATATATATATATATATATATATATATATATATATATATATATATATATATATATATATATATATACCCTAGTTTATCGTAGTAAAACTAAATATGTTGGATATATATTACACATCTACTTCATTAATGTGTTTTGTACATTATTTTGCCTGTATTCTTGTTTTTAAAAGTGGCTATTGTGAAATTTAAGCATATTTGCTTTAAAAAGAATAGTGATCAGCTTTTCATGTTAGATCTCATCTCATTAGGTGTTCCCTATATCATGCCTGAAACACTCCCTGGTTTTTATAAACATACTTTTATAATTTTTACTATTATTTTAGTCCTGAAAGTATTCGCAACATTGTTCGTGATGTATGGGATATTCGTGTTGGGAAATTGTTATCGTCTGTTAATGGTTTCCTCTCTAGTGGATCGTCGACAGCACGAGTTAGTCAATTGACTAATATGGAATTAACCACTTTACATAATCTTCTGGCTAATTCAATGGACCAGTTATCTTTACTACGTCAGGCAACTTCACAAGCTGTAGAATTCGGTGGTAGCGCAGTTAATCGAACATCATTTTTGAATTCATCATCTGTCGGAAACTAAGATAATATGGATTTATCTACTTGTGTTCTTATCATCTATTCATCCTACTAATCAGATAAATATTATATTTATAACATTTCCTTGTATGTATCTATGACGTAATCGTGTATGAAATTAGTGCTCATCTAGAATTATCTCTTTATGGATTTTCTTTGATTACATGTAAAAGTGCATAGTTGAAACTATTTTGCAGTATAAATAAAAATATATATTTGTAATATCCCAATGAGTAGAAAATTGGATTTTCTGACGTTTCGTGGCTTAGTGTAAGTCACTTCTTCAGAGAATAAATAACCAAATTAAAATTAATCCAAGTTTAAATAGTACAACGGAACAATGCAAGAATAATATTTGATCAAATATATATTTTTATTCATAACAATCAACCCAATGCTCAATTTATTCGAAATTATCAAATCAAACCTTGGTAATGACACCTATTTTGCAGTATATTAAATATAGATATTTCTAGGAAAATTCACTTGTTGAAACTGGATTTTCTCAACGGTGCACTGGTTTATTTGTAGATCGTAATCAGGGTAATATTACCGAAATTCTTTAATGTCAATAAGATTTGATTAATAAGTATAGTGTGAATATCAATCTAATTGATTTAATATTTCACTGTATCGTACAAATTTTTAGATGTTTTGGTGTAATCAACAATAATACTGAGACTTTATTTTGCCTACTTTCTTTGTTTCTGAAAGCCTTCTGAATTATTTTTATCGATAATTCATAATATTGTGTATTTAGTTATTTTACTCAGTATTAATAGCATATTTCAAAATGGTCATTATTTTCTAAATTCATCTAAATCCTTTTGTCTAACAGATGTCTTTTCGTAGTAAGCACTCTTTCGTAAACTTTTCAAATAAATTTGGAAACTTCATTCATTTTCGCTCATTGGTGCAAAAGAATAAATGATTATGATGCTTTTTTTAATGCTTAGTATTTTTTTTTCATAAATAATACCGAAATATTATCTGTAATGATGTAGTTCAATGGTTTAGAAACTTTATTTTTCATGGTTTTTACACTGGTTGAAACCTTAACCTGGATTTATCACTTCAGTAGTTTGGCTTTATCGTCAACAGTATTTTAAGTACACCAACTTGGTAGCAATTGAGTAATTACATATTTCATAGTATATTTTCGTTACTTCTATCATCCCACTACCATCATTATTAATATTAATATTCCTTTGATTCTCATCTTAATAATTTTCTCTTTTACTGTGCTAATATGGAGCTCAGTCATAGTTTGAAGCTACTCAAACACTGCGTAGTTACCAGAAATTACTAATGAAAAGCAATGAAATTACAGTGGAATAGTGGTTTTAACATAGTTTGTTACTTCTTACATGCTAAACTATTAATTACGATAAAGAAAAAGTTAAGTTTAGGTATTAGGAGTTGGGTTGGTGTTGGAAGTAAGTCATAACGCTATGGAATTTTCGCCACCAACTAACGTCGGTTGTAATGCAAAGAGCTTAGGGTTAGGTTGTAGTTACTCTCAATTTATGTATTAGGATTATGAATTAGGGTTAGGGTTTTCATCATGAACTGTCACCAACAATACAGTGATTTTTTGTCACTTCTGTTTACAAACTTAAAGAGACTTTGAGTCGAGATTTAAATTCGGGAGTTAGGGGGGGCACTGCTATCTAGCTACACGGACACCATTGGCTGTACTGAATCATATCATGCACTATAAAGTACTGTTTTTTGATTAACCGGTTAATTAGCACAAAATCTGCTGTAGAGCAGGTATTTTTTGTAATTCAGCCTAAACATAATCTCATGTTAACTTTATGGTTGCGCATTAGATACTTTTTAAAATCAATCCCAAGCAGTGCATTGCCAGTTTTCACTAAGTCAAAACATAAAAGCTATCTAGCAATATGCTCTTAATTTCACTCAGAAATATACGAGAATCTGATTAGTTTACTTTTACTTAATGGAGAATACAGAAACTTGTCAATTTAAACACTACAGCAGTTACTAAAACCTAGCACAATTTTATGAAGCAAGTAATTTGTTTGATATTAACTCATAAATTGTGCAAATTATAACGGGTACAGATTTCTCCCTTGGGTTTATTTTTTGTAGCGTCATCCCCCATAACTTTTTATCTTAGCTTACTTTCTATATGATATTTAGCAAATGTTTGTAGCTACATTATTGGTATCATTCTTTACTTATAATGAGATTGTAAGAGGCGACAGTTAAGATATTGAAAAGTATTCAGCGAAAGTACACCAACGGTTTGTCTTTTTTGCTAATATAATTCGTACATGAATAACTATAATTTGTTGTGATAATATGATATTTCACTACTTCGATCAAGTAACTGCGTAAATTGTTCAGTAATCTTCACTCTTTCGTTTCTCGATATTACTATTTCATTTCAACCAAACAATTTTTTTCTGAATTGAAGTTAAGATGTGACGTACTTTGTCTTAGCGTCTCCAGCAGAATTTTCAAAACAATCAATCTAAATTTAATCTGTTGTAATGCTGAATTTCATCTATCTTGAGCTCTGATTGTACAGAGAAATGTGGTTTATCGAATTAAAAATTTAAGGATATTTGTTGATCGCCATATAAATTTTGATGGTGTCAATTAAAACGTTTAGTGTTCCCTGACTAAAACAATCTTAAATAAACGTTCAAAAACTGTTTTGCAACAGTATACAGCACATCCTTGTGTCACAGAGTTCTTTCGACAAAACTACGTCTATCAATACTATTTGTTTCATAAAAAGAGAATTGGTATGATAACTTCAGACTGTCTGATGATAAAACTGAACATCCATAAGCTGAAGTGTTACTGTGGTATTTGTTCTTTATTACGCGCTGACTACGAATTACAATATGGTACGTTCAGGCATGGTCAGGACGTTGGGCCATGGGTTTTCGCGCACATGTCACATATCGTCGAGGTTTTCGGATGTCGTTATCTATAGCTAGTAATACCATTTGTTTCCGTCTCACGTCAATTTTCATAATGTTTGTGTTTGTTACATAGCTTTTATTCCAGTTGATTAGTTGTTTGACGTATTTGTTGCTCACAACCTTGATGAGTGTTTAGTCAGTCTAATGTGGTTATTTGTAACAATGCAAACTCGGACAAGTGAAATTCGCCATTTATCAAGTCAAAAATAGACCGCGGCAATGAGCTCTAAGACCTTTTACATTTGATGGTGACGAACATGGATGTTGGTAGTTGCTTATAAAATGTAGATTGAAGCAATCAATGTTATGTGACTTGTTAATATACAGCCATAAACAGTTCTATCCACTATAAGTATAACCGTTTTCGACTGAACTGATATATTATTATGTAACGTATCTGAGAAAAATTACATGAGTAACAGTTGACGTTGTTAGCCTTTTCCGCCTGCTTTATGAACATATACAGGAACTGTGTATAACATTACTGTAAATGCCACACTAATTAGTCACATATTCTTCATAAGTAAAGCGATGCACGTTTGTCTTGAGAATACTAACTTATCCATCTTGCAGTTAATCCGAATTTATGATGTGTCTCTAATAGGGTTTACGAATGAATTTCTGTAAACAGGATCCACAGTCACTGACCAAATTATAATTAAAGTTTTAATGCACATTGATGATTGATATCCAAATAGTGCCTACCAGGTATGTCATTATTGTATTTAAACAGTGAATTGCAAATAGTATTATGAACGTTGTAATTGGGTTTCTCTCAGATTTCATATTGTAGAGGTAAATAAATCCCCAAAATAAATAGCTCTAAGTTTTCGACATTGGATGCTGACCATATGTTTTAGTGGACTCATCTAGCTGAAGGCGCTCGGTCAGGCATCCACACCAGATCACGTGTGGTAACGCCGTGCTCAACATCAACTGCAATCGCTAGCCAGATTAGATCAGAGAATTCCGATATATTGGTAATCGCCAAATATACTCTTCCGATCTCCTCGACTCTCTTTTGATTTTTCTCGGTGGGTACAAATCATATTAGAAGGTGTTACTGGTAGAAGCGTTGTCAAACACTGAATACCTGTGACATCATCATTGGTGAGACCGAGGTGATCTGGTACACTTAATTGCAACTGTGAGTCTGTTCCTTTTTGTGATTTTTATATATCATTGCCTTATTTTTTATTTTTTTTAAACATTGTGATTTTTTTCGTGTTTTTTCTTGGATATATATTTTTTTCCCCTCGTTCATTATCGTACTTCATCATGACTGAACAGACACCTAAAGTACTCAAGCTTAAGACTTTGTCCCCGCCTTCGTTTCAACTGATGCCTTTCTGGCCCGACAACATCGAAGCCTGGTTTTGCTACGCAGAAGCCGACTTCTCCGAGCACGGCGTGATCGACACACGTGCACAATTCCTCGCAGTAGTCAAGGCACTACCGCGCGAATTCAACAGGTACGTAACACTTAGTATGTTTACTAGTGATGTTTCCGATCCTTACGAAATCTTAAAACGCTCGATTCTTAAACGAGGAGATCTAACCGATCAACAAAGGTTAGATCAACTCTTTAATAACATCGACCTGCAGCACGGTTCTGCGACGGACATGTTGCAAAGAATGAGAGAGGTTATAGGCCCAAGAACTTTCGACGAAGGTCTATTCAAACAACTCTTCTTGTCTAAACTTCCCCAACAGGTGCAAGCGGTTCTGGTCTCGTTTCAGAACAACGCCTTAAACGAACTGGCTGCATCTGCCGACCGCATTTTAGAAATTACGAAACCTTCTACTACCGAGGTATTTTCAGTCAAAGAAAAACCTCAAACGACTCAGAATGATATGACCGAGTTATGTCACACACTCACGCGTTATCTTAGTCTTCGTACCGACCGTAATCGCTCGCGCACCCCACGTAGAAGCATTTCACGTAAGCGATCTGTCTCTAGACCACGAGAGACAGATAGCCCCGACTGGTGCTGGTATCATAACCAGTATGGAAAGCTTTCCAGAAATTGCAGAAAACCCTGCA